TGTGTGTGTGTGTGTGTGTGTGTGTGTGTGTACACATATATATGTACATATGCACATGTACATACATACATATAGATAGATAGATATCGATGTGGATATAGATATAGATATAGATGTGAGTATAGATATAGATATATTTATGTCTATAGAAATACATACATATGCATAAAAATGTATATATATGTACATATATGTACATATATGTAAAAGAATAAGCTAGTATTATATACACATAAATACATATACATACTTACATATATATTTCATATATATAGCTAGATTGCTAGATAGATCGATAGACAGATAAATATATATAAATATATATATATATATATATATATATATATATATATATATATATATATATATATATATACATAAATACATACATAATCATATACACATGCACACACGCACACATATATATATAGATATCTATATATATACTCATATATATTTTTTCCCCTGATGTCAGAAGTGCATGAAATAATACACTAATGTAAGATAACTAAACATTAATTTCAAATGATTTTCATCTATCCCCTATATATATGCATATTTATGTATATATGTATATATTTATACATATTCGTTTTCTTTACTCTAATTGCACCATAGTTACTTGTTACAGTACAGGTTACTGTAAACTTATCATTATGAACACGTTATGTATTTTTGATAACATTTTCATTCATGAAGATTAGAAAACGTTATATACATCATAGAACATATACTTTTATTTTGGTTTAGCGTCACGAAACTCCCTTTTTGGACAAGGGCTAGGACGGGCCTGCCCCGTGAAGGGCAGGCAAGTATTGGCAGGGGGAGACCGTTGCCCCGAGTAGATGCCCTTCCTAACCTCGGACCATGGCCGGGAATCGAACCTGTGCGCTTGCGGACCCTCCGGCCCATAGCCGCGCGCGTTACCACTGTACAACGGCGGCCCCACATCATAGAACATATACAAAACTGCTAATCTAAGCTGACTAATCGTGAAAACATCGTACTATAGAACAGAATATTTAAATGAGAACTAATGAGGTATTTCAAAGAGAATACAAGTCTTTTAGATTTCAGAATATGGCGGCGGATCATCCTTGGTTTTGCAGGAAGGCTCTTGTAGAGGAGCGGAGGGACCTTGGGGAATTGGATAATAGCCTTGCGGATGTGGATAATAGCCTTGTGGAGGTGGATACTGCCCCTGTGGTGGGTACTGTCCTTGCGGAGGTGGATACTGACTCTGCGGAGACGGGTTATAGCCCGATGCCAACGCCTGTCCTGACGCCATTGCTGCTGGCTGTCCGCTGCCATCATTTACCCCCTGTGCGTTGGTGGGGAATTGGTAGACGTTGGCTCCTGGGTATGCCGCAGCTATATTGGCGGGCAAGGCGAGACCGCTGTACTTCTGGCGATCAGGGTGATCAACTGGAAGCTCATTGAATTCTCGTAATGCCTTCCTCCTCGCCTTCACGTGAAAGTAGATCAGAAAGCCTGGGAAAGACAAAGACATTAGTGAATGTGCATGTATGTGTGTGTGTGTGTGTGTGTGTGTGTGTGTGTGTGTGTGTGTGTGTGTGTGTGTGTGTGTGTGTGTGTGTGTGTGTGTGTGTGTGTGTGTTTGTGTGTGTGTGTGTGTGTGTGTTTGTGTGTGTGTGTGTGTGTAAGAGTAATTAAGTCTGGGATAACAGTACAAAAGTAACTCTAACCATTATGAATCCAAGAAAGTAATCAACACCATCACCATAATGATGATGGTGGTGGTGGTGGTGATATTGATGATGACGGTGATGATAATGCTGAAAATGATGACTGGTGGTGTAATGATGGTGATGGAGACGGCGATGGTGATGCCAAGGCCGATAACGATAACAATGCCAATGATAAAAATAACAATAACAGATATAACCATGATAATACAATAAAGAAAAAAAAAACTAACACTAAATACTATTAACACTTAGCAGACATCAAACAGAGACAACAAAAACGACCAACTCACCTCCAAGAAACCAGCAGGGAACTAAGGCCAGAATAGATACATAATTCTTCGTAATTATCGGGACCTGAATCAAGCTAAATCCTATAATCGTAAAAAAGATCCCAAATGTAAGGGCCACCGCCATGCAGCCAGCCCGGACGTCCATGCCATATAACTGTTGGAGAATAAAAGAAAATGCGATTAAATAACTTGACCCTTGACTGAATGAATAATACAGTATGTATTGCATCAACAATATTATCATCATCATTATTATTATTATCATTATTATTATTATTATTATTATCATTATTATTATTGTTTTGTTGTTGCTATTGTTATAGTTGTTATTTTTTTATTATCATCATTATTATTATTATCATTATTGTTGATGTGACTTGTTATTATCGTGGTCCTAATTTTCATTATTATTAACATTGCCATTATATTTATCATTATTATTAACATTATCATTATATTATATTATTATTTCTATTATTATCAACATATTACTATCATTATTATTTTCCTAATTATTGTTTATATATATACATATATACATATATATATGTATGTATGTATGTATATATATACATATCTACGTGTGTGTGTGTGTGTGTGTGTGTGTGTGTGTGTGTGTGTGTGTGTGTGTGTGTGTGTGTGTGTGTGTGTGTGTGTGTGTGTGTGTGTGTTTGTATGTGTGTGTGTGTGTGTGTGTGTGTGTGTGTGTGTGTGTGTGTGTGTGAGTGTGTGTGTGTGTGTGTGTGTGTGTGTGTGTGTGTGTGTGTGTGTGTGTGTATGTGTGTGTGCGCATATCTTATTTTTGTTCTATTTCCCCTCTCGCATATCTCTCTCTCTCTCTCTCTCTCTCTCTCCCCCCCCCCCTCTCTCTCTCTCTCTCTCTCTCTCTCTCTCTCTCTCTCTCTCTCTCTCTCTCTCTCTCTCTCTCTCTCTCTCTCTCTCTCTCCGTCTACCGTCCCTACATCTCTGCAAAAGGCTTACCCTCGTCCCCCTCAGCATATGAGGAGCTGCCTGGCGCGGATTCTGATTGACTACAATCACAGTGGTAGCCGGAGCCGGAGCGGCCTGGGGTCCTGCTTGGGCGTTCATTGTTCAAGCTGTAAGCCGGGTGACTGAAAAATAAAAACATGTATAAGTAAATGCAATTGTCTGTGCATATGAATTCGTGCAATGTATATATGCACACACACGCTTTATACATACATATATATATATATATATATATATATATATATATATATATATATATATATATATATATATATATATGTATGTATGTATGTGTGTGTAAGTAAATTGTTTGTGCACACAAATTAGTACAAATGGAATGTATATTTGTACGCCTTATATATATATATATATATATATATATATATATATATATATATATATATATATATATATATATATATATATATATATATATATATATATATATACACATATATACACATATATACACATATATACATATATACATATATATATATATATATATATATATATATATATATATATATATATATATATATATGTGTGTGTGTGTATATGTGTGAATATACGTATATATATAAAAGTTTTGATATATTTGTATCTATATATTTATGTGTATACATATATACACACGTATATATATATATGTAAGTGTGCGTGTGTGTGTGTATGTGTGTGTGTATGTGTGTGTGTATGTGTGTGTGTGTGTGTGTGTGTGTGTGTGTGTGTGTGTGTGTGTGTGTGTGTGTGTGTGTGTGTGTGTGTGTGTGTGTGTGTGTGTGTGTGTGTGTTTCTGTGTGATTACCGATGCGGTGTTTGATGAACTACCAGGGGCCATGTTTCATGTCGACCACTGTCCCAGAGAATTGATATGTTTTTATATTGAAATTGCCAAGGAATGTTTTTTCTCAGTCTGCCTCGAGCTTGCTTGTATTCAGTTTTACCACTTAGGCTAACGTTTTCTAACGTGTCTTTACAGATTGCATATCCGAGGAATTTGAGTTGTACTCGGATCAATTCTAGAAGCTCGTGTCCCTTTCCGACTCTTCTGAGTATCTCTTCATTGGACGCTCGGTATAAGAAGGTAAGCTACATATTGCGGTAGAACCACATTACTGCGCCTCTATAATGTCCAAAACCCACAACCATATAGGGGTCGACTATACAATGGTTTTGATGACTCTGATTTTTATTTGCATTGAGAGCTTGTGGTCTGTAAGGATGTTTACTCCGCCATAGCCGGTCCCAAGCCCAGGTTGAAAAAGGAGGGTTGTTGTCAGGCCTCGTAAGCCAAGCGTAAAACATGGATTGAAACCACGTACTGCTTGCCTCGGAAAATGGTAGGGCGTCCCCCGTAGGCGACGCGCACCGTCAGCCCCGGGACGGTGTGAGAAATATGCATCGGGTACCGTCGGCCCAGCGACGACGGTTAAAGAAGCGAGCTGGAGAGTGGAGATGTGTCACTTGGAACATCGGCACAATGACTGGAGGAAGCAGGGAAATAGCAGAGACCATGAAGCGGAGAAAAGTGAAAATACTTTGTGTGCAAGAAGTAACGTGGAGGGCCGGCGGAGTAAGGGAGATCGGAGATTTAATTATAATTTATAAGCTATGCTACTCCGGAAGCAGAACGGGAAGAAACGGCGTGGGTATCATCCTTAATGAAGAGCTCAAGCAAAGGGTGGTGGAAGTCCAAAGGCCCTCAGACAGGTTGATATCAATAAAGGTGCTAGCAGGAAAGAGTCTGATCAACATCGTGAGTGGTTATGTTCCACAGATTGACTGCGAAGATCAAGAGAAGGAAGAGTTCAGAGAACAACTTGAACAGAGAATTAGAGAGATCCCTGAGGTAGAAATCATCCTAGGAGCTGATCTGAACCTATGAAGTTAAGAAGAGAGATGAGTATCTAACAACATACTGAAGTGGAGGTAGCAGTTCTCAGATCAACTTCCTGAGGAAGAGAACCCAAAAAACTTGGATGAGACATTCTCTAAGAAAAGGAAAGAAGAAACAACAGGAAAGAAGCTACAGAAGATCAAGGTGTGGAAACTACGGGAATGTGAAGGAGAATACAGAAGGCAAGTGGGAGAGAGACTAAAGAGAATGAAGAGAGAGACAGCAGCCGAAATGTGGAAGGCCTCGAAGGAAGCAATGGTGGAAGTGGCAGGAAAGCTGTGTGGAAGAACAAGTGGGAGAAGAGCAGGAGAACAAGAAACATGGTGGTTGACAGAAGAGGTGCAGGAGAAGATCAAGGAAAAGAAGAAAGCTTTCAAGGAGTGGCAGGATGACAAGTAGAGCCTGGAGAAAAGGAACCAGTACAAAGTGGCAAAGAGAGAGACAAAAAGGGTCATGGCAGTAGCCAAAGAGGAAGCAGTTTGAGACTGGTACGCAGAGATGGAAACACCAGGGGGAGAAAAGAGAATTTATAAAGTGGCCAAGCAGCGTGCAAGAGCAAAGAGAGACATCCCAAAAGTGACTGGAAGAGCTAACAGAATTACCAGCAGTGGAAGGTCCGATACAGCATGTAAGCCTGCAGGAGGTGTCAGCCGTCCTCAAGAACATGAAGAACAAATCAGCAGGCACATCGGAGGTGATGGTAGAGATGTTGGATGCTTTGGGGAGGGAAGGTGCGATTTGGACCCACGAGATCTTAGAAAAGATGTGGAATGGAGAGATCATCCCAGAAGATTGGGAAAAAAGCATACTAGTGCCAGTGTATAAAGAGAAAGGCGATGTATTAGAATGTGGGAACCACATTGGTATCAAGCTCTTGGAACACCTCTTGAAAGTTGAGGAAATGATCCTGGACCAGAAGTGGTGGATATAGGAAACATGCAGTTTGGCTTTAGACCAGGGAGAGGCACGACTGATGCTGTATTTATACTCATGCAGCTCCAAGAGAAACATCTGGAAGGCAACAAGAACCTATACCATGCCTTTGCTGACTTGGAAAAGGCATATGATAGGGTGCCCAGAGAGATGGTCAACTGGTGTCTACAGAAGAAAGGAGTACCAGAGTACCTCATTAACATCGTAAAGGATACTTACGAGAGTGTAACCATAATGGTAAGAACACCACAGGGAACATCGGAAGAATTTAAAGTGAAAGTCGGCCTTCATCAAGGATCAAACCTGAGTCCACTCCTGTTCATAGTTACTGATGTGGTGAGTGAGGAGTGTGGAGGAGGATTGCTCTGGGAAATGTTGTTCGCTGACAACGTCATTTCAGCGACAAGTGAAAAGAACTTGGAAGCACAGCTCAGGAAGTGGAAGAAGGCACTCGAGAGTCAAGGGCTAAAAGTGAACATGAAGAAGACTGTCGTCATGAGAAGCAGCAAAGGACCAAGAAGAATAAACATCAAAGAGGAGAGCGGCGCAAAGTTGATGAGTACATGTATCTCAGCAGCACGATGGTAAGTGAAGGAGGATATGAGAGAGCAGTGAAAGACCGTTTGAAGGCAGCATGGGCCAAGTGGCAAGAGGTTTCTGCCGTGATGTGCGACAAAAAGTTACCAGCCAAGCTGAAATCAAAAATATACAAAACTGTGATAAGACCCGTGTTATTGTATGGAGCAGAAACTTGTGCCTTAAGAAAGAAAGAAGAGAGCCTGCTGCAGAGATCGAAAATGAGAATGCAGAGGTGGATATTGGGAATCAGAGAGAGCAGAGAACAAACGACATTCCTTGTACCTTTATCCTTCATAAACCCTGAGTCTCTGGTATTTCAGGTAGTTGTCTTTTGACCTTCTGTAGAATAGGTTTAAGAATATGTGATATTAGACTAATTGTGCGATGCGAGCACTCAAGTATTCCTGGGACCTTAGGTAAGGCAATATCATTTCTTTAGGTAATTTGCCTCTTTCATAGATGTCGGTAGGAAATTCCAAATGAGACCAATACCTTTTTCTCCCAAGGACTAAGAATTTCGATGTATACGTTGTTAGGACCTGCAGCTTTCCCGGATTTCATTTGCTGTAGGGACCAACGCCAGATGTGTCAGCTTTCAGGACTAGATCTTTCGGCTCTTGCTCATCGTTAAAAAGTTCTTGAACATACTCTTCCCAACAAGCACTGCCATCCTCGGTGTTGAGGAAATGCAATTTTAGGAGGAAAAGGAACGTTGACCAGTAATCTCTTTTCGCCTTTAACCCATTGCTGCCGGGGAAAATGAAAAAAAAATGGGGGAAACGCAGTACTCATTTTTTATATTTTTGTGAAATATCTCTGCCCATAGATGTCTCTGCTAGTCCTGATTTCACCTTTCCATGAATTGGCGGGAAAAACGTATTTTTACTAGTGCTATAAATATAGATGGTGTTATTTTTAACAGCAAATTAGGATAACGTTAAATATTTTCGTAAATCGATGAAAAGGGTGAACGGGCGAGACAGACGGTACTCGTAATTGGCTCATTGGATACTTAGTACAAGTGTAGCCATCTATGTGTAAAAACAATCGAACAAGTAGACTCGCAGTAGGCATGGCATGTACGTACATGCCATCCCCG